AGAGAATCGATCTCTAAAACCTCTCAGAAGTGAGGAAGTGATAAAAAACCCCTAAATATGCTATATTGTTATGAGAAAACGAACTAATTGGACATTCCAATAGTATGTTTTATGTGTTTTTCCACTGCAGGGGCTAGTATGCTCACTACTAGTTGGAGTTGTCATGTACTCCCAGACCCGAGTGCTTTGGCCTCTTGACTTGAGATTGATTGTTTCTGCTCATTAATTTTATCCCTGTTACTTGTTATTATGTATAAGTACAACACTAGGGTTATATTTTGTAGTCCGGTCTTTAAACATACCATAATATCACTAGTACACTGCACCTTAAATGTATAGTCAAGTACATTTGTATCGTAACACATGCTTGGCTGGGGGATCATGTTTTGTGTCCGTTCGGTACCCTGTATTTTCAAAACGGACAAAAAGTAGGGCGGACAAAAACAGACAAAACATTTAGATGTCCTCCTCCTCCTAAGTCTTCCTCCTCCTGAGTCCTTCTCCTCCTCAGTCCTCTTCAGTCCTCTTCCTGACTCCTCGTCCTCGTCCTCGTCCTTCTCCTCAATCCTCCTCACCCTCCTCCTCAATCCCCTTCTCCTCCTCAGTCCTACTCCCAGTCCTCCTCCTTCTCCTTCTCCTTCTCCTCCTCCTCATCCTCTGCATTTCTCCTCCTGATCCTCCTTCTCCTCCCCATCAGTTCTCCTTAGTCCTCCTCATAGTCGTCCTCCTCCTCCTGAGTCCTTCTCATCCTCCTCCACCTCCTGAGTCCACCTCCTGAGTCCTCCTCCTCAGTCCTCATCCTCCTCCTCAGTCATCATCCTCTTCCTCCTGAGTCCTCCCCAGTCCTCCTCCTCTTTCTCCTCCTCATCCTCCTCCTCCTTCTCCTCCTTATCAGTCCTCATCCTCTGTCCTCCTCATAATCGTCCTCGTCCTCATCCTCGTCCTTAGTCCTCCTCCTCCTTCTCCTCAGTCCTCCTCCTCCTCCGCAGTCCTTCTCCTCCTCGTCAGTCCTCCTCCTCGCCAGTCCTCCTTCTCCTTCTTCTCCTCCTACTCCTAAGTCCTCCTCCTCCTCCTCAGTCCTCCTCCTCCCTCTCATCCTTTTCCTCCTTCTCCTCCTTCTCCTCCTACTCCTAAGTCATCCTCCTGCTCCTCAGTCCTCCCCCAGTCCTCCTCCTCATCAGTCCTCCCCCAGTCCTCCTTCTCCTCCTCCTCATCCTCAGTCCTCCTCCTCATCATCCTCCTTAGTCCTCCTCCTCCTCAGTCCTCCCTAAGTCCTCCTCTTCCTCAGTCCTCCCTAGTCCTCCTTCTCCTCCTCCTCATCCTCAGTCCTCCTCCTCAGTCCTCCTCGTCCTTAGTCCTCCCCCAGTCCTCCTTCTCCTCATCCTCAGTCCTCCTCCTCAGTCCTCGTCCTTCTCCTTTTTAACAGTCCTCCTCCTCAGTCTTCCTCCTCGTCCTCGCTCTCGTCCTCCTCCTTCTCGTCTTCCTCCACACCAATCCTGCTCCTCTTCCTCAGTCCTCCCTCTCCTCTTCAGTCCTCCTCCTCCTCAGGCCTCCTCGGTCCTCCTCTTTCTCCTCAGTCTTCCTCCTTTTCCTCCTCCTCCTCATTTCTCTTCCTCATCCTCCTCCTCCTTCTTCTCTTCCTTCTCCTCCTAATCAGTCCTCCTCCTAATCAGTCCTCCTCCTAATCAGTCCTCCTCCTCAGTCGTCCTCCTCCTCGTCCTTAGTCCTCGTCCTCATCGTCCTTAGTCCTCGTCCTCATCCTCCTAGTCCTCGTCCTCATCCTCCTAGTGCTCGTCCTGGTCCTCCTCAGTCTTCCTCCTCTGTCCTCCTCAGTCCTCCTTCTCCTCAGTCCTCCTCCTCCTCCTCATCAGTTTACACAATTTATTGTTACTAAAATGTTTTTAAACGCATTTGAGTCTGTAACATATTGACATGTTACTGTTACTGACTCAAAATGTGCCCGAGAATTTTTTTGTTTAACAGAGTTTTACTCTCCAGTACTATGGAAAAGTTGTTACATGATAAATAAAGATTTTGATAAATAAAGTGATTTTCATCCCTTTTAATGTTATTGAAAATTGTGTAGACTATTCTTTGTATCTAACTGAGGATTGGAAGTTTGAGAAAGGACCATAGTCATTAACCGTGCTACCCATTTCTGCAGATAGCCTGTTACAAATTGTGGAGACAATTTAAATCAAAAGTTACTAAAGCGTTCGCTATTTGTTACGATTGTTATTACCAACCGTACCTCTTTCAATTGTGGACCGGGGTGGATGTTTCTGTCAAACAAGAGTTGGTACGACATTGTGTTGTTTTTCGGACGAAACGATTCTTGTTTGGAACAAGATACCGTTTTGGGGTTCTGGGACCACCACCAATCGATTTCTTGTCATATTTAAGTACAGAAATAGCTACCTATATCGCCTAGAAACCTCAGAGGGAAGATTTAAATTTTCCCGATTTTTCCGATATGAGGGTTGATAAGGCCAAAATCGGGATCGGAATGATCGGAATTGATCGGGTTGGACCCCCCCCAATAAGTCATGGAGTTGTTGAAGCAGAAAATTGTCCAAGATCGATTTATTTATATTATACATCATATCATATTGTAATTTTTAGATACGTTAGACAATTGTTCGGTATAAACTTCTTCCATTTGACTGAAATATCCTCATGTTACTTTAAAATGCAAAAAAATTCTTTAATAAAGACTAAAGAGGTATAATTATGAACTTATTGAGGTATATATTAAAGAGGTATACTTATGAACTTGTCGTATCGATGTGATTTCGCTAAGCGAAATACCGACCAAGTACGTGCACTTAAGCAGATTGTTTAAGAATGAGGATCTCATCGCGTGACACTTTTGAAGTGGTGACAGGGTATGATCCAGTTCAGATCCCATCGCATAGCGGTTCTTGTTAGTGATTCCGATGTGCAGTATAAATGTCACGGAGAATTTAGTTTTAGTATATCACATTCGATTCCTACTCCTCTTTACTCCGCTTTTCATTCCTCAAATTTGGCACGACGATCAGGACCTTGTCTCACACCTTGACATGTTGAGGAGCGTGATGATCGAGGAGTGAACTATTTTCAGATATTTGATTCGCAGTATTAATGTATAATCTGCATGTGGATACCGCTCTAGAGTCCTCATAGTATGGGTCCGGTAAGAGAGTTCCCCCCTCTAGAGTCCCCCGCTCTAGAGTCCTACAGCCCAATACAAATTCCTTTGGAAAATTGCCAATTTGTAAATAATTTGATTGACAAAGTTTGAGTTTTACCTCCTTTTAATTATTGTTTTATAAAGATTTTATATATTGTTCACCTTAAGCGAGAGTGTATTATTTCACTACTAACCACCAAATGCAGACAGATGAACGAGCTTAATTATGGGATTATGATTTGATTTTAATTATGAATGATGAATATTATGTTATAACATTTTCATTAAATTTCAAGGCACGCCAGACGCATTAATTTCCATACTTAGACATGGTCTATCTAATCCATCCAGGAGTAGGCCTAATTGTGATAAGTAATTACCTAATTTTGATAAGTTAATTTTCTATTCAGTACCTCTGAGGTCCGTATTAGGAGACATTGTTGAACAAAAGTTTGAAGAAAACATTCGCAAATCTCTCAGTCAATCGTTTAACTCAGTCAAATTTATAACATTACTTTGAGTACTAAAATCCACTGCTCGACTGCTTCATGAAGGAGCAATGCAGCTGTTGTTTTGCAGCTTCTGAATCAAATTTCTCTGAAATTACACCCACACACACTGACACACAAATATGTACTCTGCTGTTGCTCCTTCGTAAATTTGCTTTACATCGGAAGTTGCTCCTTCATAATATTTCTTTACTTCGTAACATAACATGACACTGGGCACGGCTACTCTTTTTGCTTTTTGACAACATTTCTAACATGTTCTGATTACTTGAAATTGTCTTGAGTCTCCTTTAAAACCCGTGAAAACAAAGTCCCCCGCGTCAGCTTGTCCAGTACTAATGTTAACATACACGGTGGCGTAGAGAGTCATGATCAGTCCTTCGTCACCGTTACAGATTTTCGTGATCCGTAGCATACATTATGATTATATGCAATATACATGTGCGCCGTAGGGTCAAGAGTTGGCCATAATTGCTGAATTATGCATTTTTTGTTGCATGAATTTATAATCGACCTTTGGTAAAGCATAGCGGTACGGTTTTGTCATTGGGATTGTCTCCTCCTTCTTACTATACTGGGACCCGTCGTACATACTTTATTACATTTAAACGAGGTGGTCATCTTTACATATTATGTACAGTAAAATTTAGTAGGTTATACTGCATGCAGAATCTAGCTGGTTCAATTTTTAAGTTTCCCCGAGTTTTGGTGGTGTGGAATTTGATATTTCAGTGTAAGGATATATTGTCTGCTCTTCATTACACAAAGTGAGTCTGACCGTTGACTTGGTGATGTGATTCCCTTTAAAAACATTTAATTGGTTAAATTTGTTTCCTGTTTATCAATTAAATTAATTAGTCCCACCCAATCTGACCAGGATATCCTAATTAAAACGTACGTTACATGAAACGCGTGTATTGCAAGTGCAGGACGTTTTGATATACAACTTCATAAGACTTCACGGTGTGGGCTGGGTTTCACTTCACATCCAGTTCCCCCCAGCTTTAACCGCCATTTGCTGATCACGTGTTGCTCTTTCTCCTGTAGAATTTACTGTAATATTTATTAATGCCAACAGATTACGGCAATCATCAGCGTCTCCCCGCTTGTTAAGAGAGACTACAATCAGACGGTAATGAGGTAATCATCAAACTTTAAACCACGTAAAAATTCTCATTTCGGCGGAGATTTCTTGGATTCTTTGTCAAGTTTAAAGGATAATTTCTCATTTCGGTTGGGATTTCTCGGATTCTTTGTCAAGTTTAAAGGATAATTTGCTGGCGTGATGTTGAGGGATTTTGTTGTTTAAGTTTAAATAATTTGATTAAATTAAGTTGCTTCTTCTTTGTTGTTGTTTGAACCGATATTTTGATGTGTATTTGGTATTAACTATTATTATATACAAATTAAAATAATACGAAGGTTTATATTTAGGTGCAATTATAAATATGATTTTTAAGGAACCATAATATTATCTTGATGTTATTATAGTTAATACAATACGCAATACGCATGGTGAACATCTCATCTACAGTTTGTTACTCAATATCATGATGTTATTACGGTGTTAAAAATACAAGTAACCTGTTCCCGGCCAATAACTTACCCGCATTTGTTTCATAAAAGCCGCGCCGTCTGTATTTTCTTTAGCAAATACTGATCTGTATGTTTATATTAAGTAGATTTCAAGATTTAACTAATCCTGCGTGTCAAACTGAATATTTCAAACTGAATATTTCAAACTGAATATTTCCGGTCTTCAAGTAGAAACTGTCGGTTCTCAGAATCACATAACTACAAGGGTGTGTCGGTTCCACAGCTCCAGTTCACAGTTCCACTTTCAGCTTACATCACATTCTACACTACTCCCTCATCACATCTGTAACACTGCATGTTTACTAATCCCCGCCCTGTCTCTGTTTCCAGCCTCGCATTATTCCGCACCAAGCTACAACTAGATCTGTCAGTTCATCACTTCAGAACACACTGGACACGTGACAGTGAACCATATCAACAGATAATCAAAATCCGCGACTTTCACATGTCATACCTGTTGTACGGTTGGTTCCGCATGATCAGTAGGTGAATATAACAATCGTGAAATAACTGACGACAGCTATGTTCGGTGCTCTCACTGGTCATGTGACAGTAGAATCTGAACACGTGGGCAGTGACGAGACCACGTGACCTAATATGACGCGTTATTCCCCCGATGATTGTACTTTGTAGCATGTTCCTTCGTACAGGTTATTGTGTGTTCTGCAGTTTCCTAACTTGGTGATGCTGTGGTTTTGTTAGTTACCAGCAATAATTAAAATTAATCGATAGAATTTGCTACTTATTTGGAGGGAGCGTCCGCTTGTGCTTAGTACTGGGAACCTCTTGCTGCCAATAATCTTGGGACTCAGCAAATCGATTACAGGAATTATAGATGTCACGTGTTACAACAAATGGCCCAACTCTTACTCACCACATTTATTGAATTATCCGCACACTATTATATCGCCGTATTCCGACCCATAATTCCTCAACTATTAGCGTGAATGGGTGCTTCGCCGAGTAAAGTGCGTTTCTATTCTCCTTAATCGAGTAATTATGTGGAATTTATCATGTGGTATAACTCATATCGGTGTGGTCTGGGGCCGTGTTACTCCACAATCCACATTGCATGGTCCGTGGTCGTTAGATCTGGCAGAAACATGATCATCATGACTTCAACAGCTCCAGAACACTACCGGTTACAAGTTTTTGGAAAGTTATCTCTCATTCTTTTCGTTCATGAGCGAACAAATCCACAATTTGATATAGCAATCCTTCTGAATGAATTATGAACATTCGATTTTGGGTTTAGCATAGCTCATTACGAATCACAGATGTGAAAGGTTACTTCAGCGCTCCTAAGGTTCACATAAACGTACCAATCAGAAAGCTGCTCCTCACATATTTCTACCAATCAGAGATCAAGAACCTGATCACATGAGTGGCAGGACCAATCACAATGCTCCATTTCGAACAGAAGCTGTAGCCACCTGCTTACAGAGCAGTCGAGCATGGTAATCTGATCGCCAATTGTTTGGGAGTTTCGTTGAGAGATTGAATATTCGTTAGCTCAATTTGAAGTGTAACAGTGTCAGAGTAGACTGAACGCTTCAATGATCGTCTCTATTTGAAGTTTTGAACCGTATATGGTTTGTATAATAGCCGTCGTGTCACTCAGACAAATCCGAAGAGCTCTCAACTAGTTAACAGAATCTAAATTACTGTCTCACTTTTGACTTCAGAACCAGATTTAAATGAAATTCAACTTGCAGTTTTTACGAAATTGCTATTTAACTATATTAAAATTACACTTTTACTTTCGAGCTTTGATCCCTCCTAAAAGTTAGGTATTGTAGCCATAAAATAGTAGCGAGGGAGCAGTAGTTCATATTTTAACCAATTATCTTATAAAAATTAAAAATTTCTCTGAGTACATTCTCATTCGAGCGCAGTACCCAGAATATAACCGTGTATTAAAGTAGGCCCGTCTCACTCTTCAGCCGCACCAACATTCCCTCTCTGGATCTGACAGAATTGGATTAATTGGCACTGACTACAACATTAACCCTCCCACTTAGTAACTACATCACCCGCCCAGCGCCCTGAACCAGCATTTTAGACGAGGTTAAATGCTGACTCAGCCTTATGTCAGGGAGCAGGGTTGTGTGGTTGAGAGAGTGGGCGAGAGCGTCTAGACATGCACCACCTCTCTCAACTTTACTTTGATATTATAGTTTGTAAAAACTGTTCCACCGCTCTAATGTTGTGTTTAGTGTCTCTGTCGAGCTTTATGATGTTGTGGTTTGTGACTTTAAGTATGTCTTAAATGTTGGTTTAGTTTTGCGGTAAGAGCTTAAGAGGCTACAATCTAATTCACACCCGATTTAGAGGTGTCTGTGTTACTTCATTACGTGTTGCTTCCATGCGTTTTGCTTCCATGCGTCACTCGCCTACAATGTGGAGTTTCGTCTGAAAGCTTTAATAGGAGTCAGGACCATCCTGTGACCACCCCAGAGAGAGAGAGAGAGAAGATATTTCTATCGTTCAGCGAGTTTGAGTTCTGGGGAGTAATGGTGTTGTGGTAATAGCTTAGTAGTAGTTGTAGTAGTGTTGCTTCCATGCGCATGTTTTAGTAGATAAGGATCAAATAGGATGTGCCGGAATTTAGGTGCTTGTTGATTTGATTTTAGCAACCAGGTTCTAGTTTAGAATTAAACAGTGTGGTGTTAAAAAATAATTTCTCTAATTTATATCTGATGAGTGTAGATTATTTGTAGATAAATTATAATGCATCTGCTTTTTGTTGATTAATAAAATGACCGTGACTGTCTTAAACTATATAGTGTCCTACAATAATAAGATTTAGCGTTGAAATCATTAAGTATGATCAATCTTATCATGTGACTGGCACTAATAGTGATCAGTGATTCAGTGATAGCCTCATATCAGTGGAATGCGGAGTAGCGTCAACTGCGTAGCCTAGTTATTCCTTGCACTTATTTATCGTTGATTATCAGTGTTTAAAGTCGTGCACAACTCACTAGCTTTGTTATTTCAGTATGACCTAATCACTCTGCTAATATCATATTTATGTTAACTCGCCCTGATGACTTGATACATAATTGCATGGTCAATGATTATGACATTTTAATCACGTCGGCATGATATTTTTTAGACTGCCAATGTCAAATTCCTGTGTTTGTGACTATCATATTTGTGATGTTGAACAAATATTTGTGGCAGAATGTGATTGTTATCTCCGCATATTTCTTTATCTTATCAGTTAATGGAATTTTAGAATTTTAGAGTGTAAGTCTTACACAGATTTACAACCTCACGTTATACTGCTTGATTCTGATAAGCAATTTATGCATTCAATTATCCATTTTTCATGAGTTGTTGAATTGCTTCTGTATATAGTTGTTGTGTAATATTTGTTAGCTCATGCTCAGTCTGTTGCCCTTTCTGCCAATCGCCCTTTTTTCATTTATTTGTCCTGATTTCAGGCCACTTAATACTCTTGAGGGCTGAGTCCAGTTGGTCAAGCAGTACAAGTTTACCCAATAACACGATCAGTATATCTTTTAAGAATTGATTTATTTCATTTATCCCATAAATCAAAAGAACATCTTAGATTTAAGATCACGTTGTGTTCATTTCATCACGTGGTGCTCATTTGGTCAATATTTCTTCATTATCTTAAGTTGCAAGGTGCAAGTATATTATGATGTGGCCGTCACAGAGCACACATATTATTTTAAAATACAGCATGTTTCGTCTTAGCACTACATTATTGTGAGTGCTGGGGAATTTCGTTTCAGTATAAAAATAGCTTGAACGTAAATTTTATAAATTTTTAAACTGCGCTAAGAAAATCCGCGAACGGTTTTACCAATTACCATTTTGTTAATGGCTTCGCTTGTACGTAAACGATATGACGATTCGCATTCTTTAACACTAATTGTGAGTTCTAATTATTCGCTGAGGTTCACTTATTTATGGAAAAGAGCGTTGATAACTTTAAACTGCATTTAATCGATAAATTGTTGCCAAATTAGTTTCTATTGATTATGCAGTTACTTAATCACAGATATGCTTGGCTACGTGACATAAAAATGGGATCTCATATCTTTAATCGGTGCTTGCGAGGGAAATAACGACTTCTCACTTAAAGTTAAACTACACTTTCGTGAATTTCGAACTTTATAAACGGTTTAACTTTGCTTTCTTTAACCTGATACGGTACACAATTTCTGTAAATCACATCGCAGCTTTCGAGATTTCGTCTGTTTTAATTCTTTCAACACCACTGTGTATTAAATTATTATTAATCTAAAAAACTTAAACGCGGTTTAGTTACATTGAAACAACGACTTAGTTTCATAAAAACAGCTTTTTTAACCATGTCGCACAAACGTGATACTCAGAAACTAATATAAATAATCATATTATTTGCTCTGTTTGCTCAGTTTGCTCTGTTTGCTTTGTTTGCTCTGTTTGCTCTGTTTGCTTTCCCTGTTTGTGATTGGCCCCAGAATATCCAGGTCTATATAATTGCCAGCTTATTTTATAGTATTAAAATAATTGGTAACTAACTATATTCTCTCCCTTTATCCTATGTAAAACACTCCTAACATTGTGAGTTGTTCAGTCATTACTCTAGTTTATAACCAATCTAGTTTCATTTAACTCAACAAGATAATCAGAACCTAACATAATAACATCACTTGCATCACGTGAAATTAAAGAACCAATCTGTACCAACATTGTTCCTAACTCTCGCA